AATAGACTTGTTGGCCAATTTTTTCCTGTCTCTCCTAATGCTGTCCACACTTCCCACTTCCTCAGAAATATCATCCACTATTTTAGTTTGTCAAAGTTTTTATCCTCCAAAATTTACCCACGTAAAAAAGATTCCCCCAAACCTAGCTCACATGTTCAGGATGTTTTTGTACTCCTGATCAAAGGAAGACATTCTGAACATCTGTTATTTGGTCAGTAAAACTGAATCTAGAGTTGTTTAAGAAGTATATCTGTTACTTCCATGACTCTGCCCTGAATATTAATACATAAAAACTAAAATATCCCAATATCCTTATATTAGGCTCCAACTGCTTAGAATTGACATCATTAATAATAAATAAATCTATTTGTTCCTTCGATAATTTACTTTTAATCATAACATTAATAATCATTAATATTTTAGCCACAAATTGACACCACGAAATATTTTAAACTAACCACCAAACTTATATTAATCATTAGTTTCCATATATCCATTTTATTAATATTCCCATAAGAAGACAAGTGGACAGTATGGAATGGTAAAATACACAGAAATATACTGTAAAATACAAAATAATATACTATAAATGTTATCTATAGACTAATATGACCTGTGACTAATATATAAGCTATTTACCCTGACTCAAGTTAAAAATTCCAAATATTTAAAAACAAGTAGCTATTATTCATACCATATTTATTTATTTATTTATTTAACAATATATTGTAACCCAAGGACAGATAAGGCACAAATAATTTTCTGAACAAGTTAGAGAGAGAATAACTGCAGAGAATAAAATTCTAAAATATAATACAAGCAAACCTTTGAAATATGAATATATCTGTGTCTTTTGGAGGTATAACACTTCGCAGCTAGAAGTTGGCAATACTGTTTCCATAGTAAAATTCTCCTGAAAGATTCAGTATGGGGCTCATGGGAGGCTAGGTTAAATTGCATTTTCCTAAGACAGGGCCACACTGGCTCTTAAGTATACATATCTATTATATGCACTAATATAATGTAGTATTTAAAAATAAAAGGTCAATAATATACAGTGTTATAAAAAGATTGATCATAAATTATACCACAATTTTTAGGAATGAAAATAAGTTGATCTGGACGAACTTACCTATATGCAAAAGTATACCCAAAAAAAGTTACAGGGTGTTACAGTTACAAAATAAAGTGAATTTTTAATATTACTCCAACATGGCTTCAAACTTTTTTATGAAAATTTATATTATAGTGAATATATTTTTTTCTCGATTTTTCTAGATGTTTAGAGAATCTCCAAACCTTTCCCCCCAGCTTGTTTGTATGATAACATTGGATAAAAAAGGATCTTCAGTACTATAAAATACCTATTTTTTTTTTTTTAGTATTTGTGTGTAAAATCATAAATTTAGAAGATACAGCCACTTTTTTAAATGTCAAGCTAAAATAACACAATATTAATTTTCTCAAATATAAACTTTATTATTCAAGTACCCAATTGTGAGTTTTATTTTTTAAATAGCTTAGCATTGAGGAAAATTCAAATAAGCTCTTCCACTGTTGTGCATAACAAATTGGAATTTGTCCATTCATTTTATGGAAAATCTTGCAGACAGATTTTTTTTGTGGGCTCACAAAATACAACTTTTACATAAATGTAAGCCTTATATAACTGCTGAACACTATACTAATTATGTACAGTATAGATTTTCACAAGAAAATTTTGAAAACTATGTCAATAAGCAAAACTGCTGCATGGAAGTGAGAATAAACATCAATGAATTATTGAAACAGCTTTTCATCTAGACAACTGACTGTTTGGTGTGCTTTATAAACTGGTGGAATCATTGATAACCACTTTTGCAAAAATGAAAGTGAACAGAATGTTAAAGTCAAATAATAGCTGCTATAGAGCCATAATCATCAACTTTTTTGTTGCTAAATTTTATTATCTTGATGATATTTCAATAAAGATGGTGCAACATCCATTGCTGAGAGGCTCAATTATTGCCTGAGAAGGTATATGAAATGACTAGTCTATGCTGATAAGTCAGAGACATTAATGACTTTGGAGACAAAATATGCCTTGTTATTATTGACAAATTGCTCCAAATGCGGCAAAAAGTGATCAACAATTGAAGACCTTGGGGCTAGAAGGGAAAGAGCCACAATTTCGAAGTTTAAAGTGCACATTGTAAGACCATATAATGTCCCAAACAGAAAAGTTTACTTTATACTGCGACAGAAGAAGACAAACCACAGTAGCAATCAATATAGCTGTGAAACATTCCAGTGCATGTAAACGAAAAAAAAAAAAAAAAAGACTTTTCTCAGTTTGATTCTGAAGACAGTGACCAAGATCCAGTTTTTAAATGAAAGTGAAGGCAACAAAGACTATTTGTCATATTATATTTTAGTAAAATACCTATTTTATCGTACGAAAATGAAAATGCTTATACCCCACAGACTTCTCGAGGTGAAAAGAAATCTAGGGTAAGGTTATGTAAATACAAAAGGGAAGAAAAAAAGAACCACAAAAATTAGATACCTTGTGACTGCACAAAACAGTTTAAATACCTTTTGGCAGCAATGAAAATGATACATTTAAATAATGTCTTTTGAAACTTAAGTAATTATGACAAGAAAATATTTACCTATTATCAAGTATGAAGGTAATTCCAAAGAAGCGAAGTTACCCAAAGAAAACAAAATGACTTCATTCATTTAGAAATATATTAGTTATATACAGAGTTAAAGTAAAAGGTCGAAAGATGAAATTTGTAAAAAAAGAGTTTCTTGCCATACACAGCATTTCAAAAAACCTATTGAAAGACTGATTGAGTAAAATAAAGAAAGTGTGTCTACTCCAAAGTCAGATGAAAGAGGTAGGCACAACAACAAGAAGATATCAGAAGAACACTGTGAGAATGTTACTAAAATACATAAGCCATTATAACAGGCAAAGAAAACCCAACAAAAGTCTACCCAACTGTTTAGGCTGTTTGTTTGGGCTGTTAGGCTGTTGAAAGCTGAAACTGGCAGTTTCATGTGATTATATCATTACCATGTGATTGTGATTTAGCAGTAATTGAAAAGTATAAGTGTCATTGATTAAAACAAGTATATACTCTTTGATTAAAAAAAGCTATATAGATGCCATTGATGACAAAGTAAAAGTTAACTTTTCCAAAATATCAAGCCTCAAGTTTTGTTAAAGTCAATTTTACTTTCCAGAGATTTGAAATCAAAATATAGTGAACTTATTCCACTAAACAAAAAATTTAAAAAAATTTACAGCTCTTACAGTTACTTTATTCCAGCCAGCTTTCCTAAAATTTTATGAAAAAATTGGTACTTGCTAACCGTTTCCACCAGATACTGATAATGAACCACTGGTAGACATTGACCATTTGAATGCTTTTTCAACTATTGAAAATATTGACAAATAGAATTATTTTATATAAGTAAAAGGGGATAAGCCCAGGATTTTTTCAAAAAATATTCAAAAACTCAAAAACATAAATGTACAAACTGGATTTCACGACTTGAAAATAAGTTAAAAATGATGCTTTCTCCAAAATATTGTTTGTTGGCATGTCCACTTCTGGTCCCAAGGTCTCCAATTGGACTGTCTAATTTGACCTTTCAAATAAAGCCTATTGAATGCTATATTAATATAATTTATTTGCATTTTAATTAATTTTAAAGTTATGTTTATGTACCCTTACAAAACAAAACACTTTAAATAATTTTAAAAAATTTGGAAAGAAAAATAGCAACAAATGGGGAAAAATAAGAAAAATATGTTTTTTATTTTATAAATATAGTTTATGTTGTCTCAAAACACTGAGCAACACATGGATATATAAAGTGAAATATGATGTAGAACAATTAATATAAAGATGGTAGGAAAAAAATAGAAAAAAATACAACAAAAAAGAAGGGAGAAAAATATGCCATGGTCACAAAAATCTAACATTAAAACTAATTATTTGTTTTCTCTTCTTTCTACTGGTATTAGGACTTGAATAAGAAAAGATTGGTAACAACAAAACATTCTTTCATTTCTCAACTTCCTACTGCAGCAATTGTAAACAAAAAACATGTAATCAAATTATTGATATATTTGGACATTATATTAAGACCAATTTTTAAACATATAAGTAAACAAAGAAATTCTAAAGCTCGCATTTTCTATGTAAATGCCAATAACAAACCAACCAAAATTAGACACTTATCTTGGCAAAGGCAAGAGGTCACATTATTTTTGTAAACAACTGAGAAAACTATAAAAATATCTCGTTAATTATCTGGATAATATATGAACTATCAACAATAAATCAGAAACATCTATAATGTAGATGTGAATCCCGCATCTTTTCATGAGGTGCACAATGGTTAACATAGGGGTGACTCATATACATTGTACTAAGAAATTATTTCCCTCATATTAAAGTAACTATATTGTTAATAAATGTACTGTATAACCATAGCTGTTAAAGAGAAATGAGTTGTTTTGCATTTTAAAGCAGCAAAGCTTGTCTCAAAGTATTCCAAATTAAAATTCATCATTTGTATAAAAATAAATTACAAACAAAAATACAATGCAAAAAATCTTACCCACAAACACCGCTACAATTATTAAAATCTTCATTTTAACCATACAATACCGCTATCAACAAAATCACTATATATTTCAAACTTATAATAAACTTTTTGCGTTGTCAGTGAAGTGAAATATAAATTTAGATGCTTTGTTCTATCGTAATTACTTTGAACTAATCGTATGATTCTTTCGTTTCGTCTATTTCTTATTTCTTCCAGAACAAGACTCGCAGTCACAGCACAGCACTCACTGTCTTTTTTTATTTGTTCAATGGAAATAAACAAAACAGCTGTGTGTCAAATGTCATTGTTACAGTCATGTTCTACAGTCATCCAAAGGTACATGATCACCAAAAATAAGAAGACGACTCGTTCTCTGAAATTAACCTCTGTTATTTGTCTACTCTGAAGTTATATCATAACAAATGTCTTTTATTTTTATTATAATAAATATTATTTGTATATATAATTATATTTTAAGATGTTTAAATCAACTAGTACCATATGTGGATGTAAAAATATAAAATATTTTAAACTGTTGTCAACCCAGGCTGAAGTCAATTGCCAAATAATATCAGATTTAATAGGTATCTATTGATTTAATTCTAATATTCTTCAAAATACAATATTTAACTTTTAGGTGTTTCAAGAAAGGAAGCACTAATGTGTGTTGAAAAAAATAAATTGCAGAACAAAGATGGAGAGTTTTTAATTCAGAGTATAAATTTTTGTAAAAGTTTAGGTTACTCAGAGTTTGATATCTTAAAAGTGCCCAACTTATTGACAATTTATCCTATTGAGCTTGAACAACATTATTATTCGCTTAAAGAGGGAGGATTTCATGATATAACACCACAAGTTTTATCCAAGTAAGTATGATGCCAAGTATTTATTAGTTCTAGAATGATACTTGAAACCATGGACATATAATTTATATGTCCATGCTTCAAACAAATTAGATTCGAAACCAAATAAGTAATGTTAACAATATGTAGTAACTGGTACTAGTCTCATATGCGTGGCCGCAGCGGGTACCATGGAACCCACACTAACTTTCAAGGGATACAAAAATTGGGATGTTTCCAGTTGAAAGGCTAGTAAAGGATTTTTCACCTAAGAAGACCTCTTTGCAATTAAATTATGGTAACTTTATTACTAGCCGACCAGATAAGCAGCAATATATTTTACACTACCTCTTTGAATAACATTTTACTGCTCTGTTGTTTCAATCAGCACTGCTCAACAAGTTATCGTTTCTTGGTTTATAATTTTATTGCAATGTTATTTTTTTTTTTTAATTTCTACTGACATATCGTGTAATGTAGATTTACCCAATAATCAAAGTTATGCATTTACAAAAACATATTGTTTGAAAAATAAATAGTAAATACCATGTGTCATAATAATTGTAATCTCAGGAAAAAAGACAGTTAAGATTTTATAAACACTTAAAAATTTGTTTACTAATGTATTTCTTAAATCCACATAATCATTGAAAAATGATTCATGCTGTTTAAAATATCTTTCTGTTAATGACAAAGTAGATCAAATTCAAACGTCATCATATTTTTCTTTTGTTTATCGTTAAAAATTAATTGATGGACGTGGGTTGTATTTTTGTGTTTTAATAATTTAACAAAATACATAATCAGCAAAAACCTTATTTAAAACATGCGAACGGTTTTTGCAATCACAATCAATACAGTGTTTATGCTGGTTTAGCATTGGCTGTTAAATAACTTCTGTTCGATTGTTTTTAGTCCTTAAACCCTCGTCCTTTTTAGGGTGTAGTAGTTGTATATAAGTACCTATTTTTTATAGTAGTGTAGTGAAGTGGTACTTTAAAACAAAATGAGTAATTTGGAAGAAAATAAAATACAGTTGAAACGTAGAGTGTTATCTCCAGAAGAACGGCGTTTAGTTCTAAAAGTCGAAAGTTATTTCAATTTAGAAAAAAATAATATGGGTTCAATGACATCTGTTATGGCAGTTCAGAAACGCACATGCGTTGCTTGCGGTATCTCAGATAGAACATTCCGAAGAATTAATAACATGAGTGAGGATGAAATAAATAAAGTAAGCAAGAGAAATCGTCAACATCGAAAAACTTTAGATTTGCATCAGTCAACTAACCTTGCAATTAAAAATATTATATATAATATGTATAAAGAAAAAGAACATGTAACAGTTAGTGCTGTGTTCCAAAAAATAAAAGACAAGGAGCTGTGTGATATTAGTTTAACAAGTTTGTGGAGGGTGTTGAAACATTTAGGTTTTCGATATAAAAAGACAAATAATAGACAAGTATTGTGTGAACTCTCTAATGTTATTTCAAAACGGTGGCATTTTTTAAGAAAATACATGAACAATAAAATGTCTGATAGTCCGAGGCAAGTTGTATTTTTAGACGAAACTTGGATTTTCGCTAAAGGAAATATGTCAAAATCATCTTGGCAAGATGGCACCACGAAATGCTATTCTTCTAGTCATTCCCTTAAGAGGAGTATGTAGTCGACCGCGTGGTCGAATTTGAGATTTACGCCGAGCCATCGCTTTGAAACGCAATTGTAGCATGTGTCAACGTGGGGATCAACGTAGGAAGACTCGCACAGCAGGACCGGGTTTATTTTATTTTTGTTGCAAACGGATTGAGTAAACCGCCGTGTAGTGAGAATAGGATTATAATATAAAGTAAAATGGTGAAAATTTCTTACAAATAAATTTTAATTTTGTTGAAAAATCGTACGTTTCGGCGTAATGCGCGATTACAAAATTTAATTTTTTTTTTAATTAAAATACAAATATCACATACAATTGTTACTTAAAAATATACTAAAATATAATAAAAGGTTGTTTTGTGCGTTATTAGTTTATTTTGAACGCCAGTAGTTTGAGTTTCTTCGCCTACAAATATCTACATTATTTAGTCATCAAAAATAATGTATGATAAGTGAAATGTCTTTGAAAAAAAAAAAGCAAAAATTGTAATACATACCCAAATGTAATTGTATTTTTTAGGGAAAATTTTTATATTTTTTCTTGATAGGAGCTTTTATAAAAACTTGTATTGACTGTCTAATTTTTCTTTTTAGGTAATAAATATATGTGATATTTGTAATGTAAAGCAAGAAAATTTAAACTTTGAGTTTTTAAAAAAAATAAAATTTTTAATAATATAAAAAGATAGTCGAATCCCCAAGATTTTTTGAACCGAAATATTTTCACGGCTATGATTTTTACAAAACACTTACAGTGTTGATTCATCAATAAATGTTAATTTAAATATAATATAATATATTTAGATGTCTACATTTTTTATCAGTCACCAGGATATCAAAATTTTAATTAACACGGTATACCTATAAGTTCTTACTAACAGTTACTTAAAACTATATATTTTTGTATTATTAGAATGGAATTTGGAATTCAAAATAGTTAAGTACCTACTAATGGTTGGTGAAAACTATACTTTTTGTAAACTTAATACTAAAAACATATTGATATTTCGATTTTCAGGTGAAAACATTTTCAAAAGTTTATACAAAAAACATAGTTGACATTGGGGCCGTAATCCTGATCTGGCAGGTTTTGTTTAGCCGATTTCTTTTTTTTTGGAAACAAAGTTCTTCTAGCTTTAATTTTGGCGTGCTCTTTTTTCTTTTTAAACAAAATTTTTTATAAAAGCCTTTTGGACTATTGCCAAACATTGTTTTATTTATCATTCGATGGTATTCACCACCCGAATTGAACGATAGTGCTGCCGCTTCGCACCTCGTCTGATATGACCCTCTTAATGAAAAATTTATTCTTTTACCCCAATGAATTTACACACAACGCTGTTATAGTGCTCTGCCAAGTTATTGTCCATCTTCATAATAAGACTACTTGCATTGTCAATAACTCTTTGAAGGGCACTCATTACGTCTTCATAGATACCACATTCTTTCATAACGGGTATTATATTTGTATCTTGACCCTCGCATTTAAAATACTTTATAGTTTTACAAAGGTTGTGCTCTCCAAAAACATGACTGGGCGCATTATTTATATCATTTCGGAGCAACTGAACTTTTTCTTCTAAACTTGTGTTTTCTCCGATCGCACTTCTGAGGCGCATAAACCTCGACAGAACACGTTTTCTTAGAGATATTGGCACAGGTTTATTTTGAGAAATACTTCTCTTCTTGCCTAAAATCAAAAACAATATTAGTTTCATTAATAATTTCACAATATTTTAAAACTTACTGCTGATTTCTCGTATTTTTTTGGCAAAATTTCTTAAAATATGATTTTTGCATTCAATTTTCTGCACCAAGCAATTTCCATATGGTCTTATTTCTAACAGTTTCCTATATACAGAGGAATCACCATCACCAACCATTTTAGAATATTTTATACCATATTGATTAAGGCTATTTCTGAAACCCTCTGCTATGATATCTGTTTCCATAGCTGTTGAACTGCCCGTCCAATTTTTAAAGCATCTATGTGTTGGAGTTTCTTGTTCTTTGCTCTCATGCCATGAACAAATGGAGCAATATTTATTTCTGACTCCAAGAAATAATAGTTTACCCGTATTGTATCCAATAATACAAGCCTAAAACAATAATTAACAATGCAACAGTATGAAATAATGTTATATAGATTGCAGCTGTTTTATTACAACTTATTACTTACGACTCCGGACATGGCATCGTAATTAACGTTATACGACCTTTTACTCCAGGCCTCATCTGTAACAACGGTTATGCATGGAATGCCGTTTTCGTCAACGTTCCCAGCATCTTTAGCCATTTTTATTTCTTCTGCGGCTGCCAGTTCCATCGTTTGCCATGCTGATGCCCTAATAAACTCTGCAACTTGTTCGTGATAGTTGTTATGTCTTTAACGTCATGAATGGTAGATCTAGAGTTGCAGCCAGTTCAGATGTCTGAGAATATCCAATACCAGTAGATATGGATCACAACACAATGGATGAATTAATATTTACCTTATTTTCAGACTTTTTATCTGATGTGATTGTTTTTTAGGCAGTTGCACATTTGGCATTTTAGGTAAAATTCCGAGAAAAGGCCAGTTCTTTTTTCGCCAACCAGCTTCATATCGATAATTGAACAATCAAATGGCTTATGTTTTTCTCCATTTAAAATATGCTCAAAAAATATTGGATATTAATTAAGCGTCTTCCTTGACCGAATGTTTTTCCTAAAATCAAGTCTAAATAAACGTGTGGCAGATAAATTAGAGTCACAATGAACAAGTTTCGTACATTGTTACCCTGCAGTTTAAATACAATTAAGTTAATTATATTATTATTCTAAATAATTTCACTTACTCCTCAAAAATTGCGTCACTAGTGGAATAGGTTTCACAGTCCATATTTTCTTTGTTAGCTCTAAAAAATATTCGTATTGATCATAAAATCTATTAGTGTGCTCATTTACAAGCTATACATTTTTACCGATCAAGTGCCTATTTACTTATAAAAAAATTGTGAGAAGGTTAAAGTTTAGATCGTTTCCAATTTCAATTCATAAAAAGAAGACGATACAATTAAAAAATATTTAAAACGATTTATGCTATCTGATGCTTTTCCATTTTACGTAGGTATTAAAACCACAGTTTTGTAGATGTTCTATGTAACCTACGTTCGTTTTCAAGTAATAAAGTTATAGAATGGTAAAAATATATAGAAAGTTAAAAATTGAAAATACTAAAAAAATTATAAGATTCGTCTTGAAATATCATCTTTTTGCAAAATAAATTTTACAATTGTCGTTTGTTTGACATATTTTTAGTTGTTTTTTTGGTTATAATTTTTTATGTTATCTTCGGTAGTATTTTTTAACACTAATCAATATTATTCACT